GCCACAACTCATCAATGGTTGGTTTATATAATACAATAAAAATCAAAACGACGCTGGAGAACAGTAATATAAACATTAAAATTCCTTCATAAAATGCGATTTCCTCCTGCACAATTGGATCCTCAGGAGCATCGTCAAGGAATTGAGTAACATATTCTACTGCATTTTTCCGCTGCGTTGAAACTTCCTGTAAAAACACAAGATAATGACACAAGCCCAACCCTGAGGAACCATCCTACTCATGCACAGGGCCATTCAGTCTATCAGTCAGCGAGGCAGGAGCTATGTAAGGTGTCTATCAATTCACACGCATTATACTGGTAAAAGCTGGGAATACACACGAAGGACAGAGCCTGCCCTTTACTGTTACCAGAGGCAGGGACCCGTGAACACCAATCAGCACACAAAAGGACCATTCAGCAGCTCTACAGCCGAAGGGAAAGGACAGGCAGGGCAAAAAGGAGAGAAGACTTTGGGGCGGGTCCCGGCTCGGGGAACGCTGGGAAGTCCAGGCAATGTCTTCGAAGACAGGCCGAGCGCACAGGGGACAGGATGAGGGATTCCAGGAAGGGCAGCTTGAGCCGAAGGACGAGGTGGGAAACGGCATGAGAAGTCACACGGAAATCCTGAACACACAGAGCGGGAAGGGAACGGGAAGGCCCCACTGGCAAACTTCGATAAGAGACAACAGTCGACTCATCCAAAACGAGGAGTGCCGAAAACACAAGACAAAACAGGAGACATCTTAAACCTCACCGAACTCGCACAGGGAACCATCTACATTCAGTCACGTGGCCTAACCAACCGGGGAAAAGTACTGGAGGCAAAGAACTCAGATACAGACACCGCTTTCCGTAGGCGAGCGTGGAAAACTCACGCAAGTGTACTGTGCGCTCGCGGGACCGAAAGCCCAGAACGACTTTAGCAGTTGTGGATTAGAAAATATTAGGCAAGAATGGTGACGGGAAAATGCAAACGTCAGGACGCAGGGGCGACGTGTCCAACCGCTTACGTATTAATGACCCTCGACGGTTAGGTAGTAAAAGAAGAAGAAAAACAGAAAAAAGGAGACGGTACCTCCTCGTCAGGGGACTCCGTGTCTTCCTCTTGCTCCGATGTGTCACCTAGAGGGTGCAGGCACACAGATGTTAGCGGCAACACTGACCACTTTGAATTGTACCCAAACCCGTGAAGTCTAACCCATTCAAGAATCTTTCTGTAAACTAACGTGGCCAAAAGGAAATTCAGAGGACTGAAGAATTTTCTTGAGGGAAAACCAGGTCGTGTTTGCGATGTGTGGGAAGACAGCAGGCAAAACGAAAGCAAGCAGTACTGCAGGTGGTATATAGACCTACAGTCTTGAGGTACTTTAGGTTCACACGTAGCTTCTTTCTTTCGACAGAGGTCCTGGCGTTGGAGCCCAGGAACTCCTGCGGCCTAAGCAAGTCATCCATCTACCCAACAGCTACCCCCTTCCTGGCCCCACACTGGCGTTTAAGAAGAGACGGAAGAAAAGTCAACCTCCAGGGATGTACACCAACCTACCGGACTCATTAGGTTGCTCTGCCGCAAGCACA